CTGAGGTTCATTCGTCCCACCACGATGACAAGACGATTGTAAGAATGTTTCTGGAATATACAAAAACATGCAAGCTTTTCGTTCGTATGTTGTTGTAAACAGGCGGACACTGCCCTATAAATAATCGTTTACGTCCTGTCTACTCCTATCGACCATTCCAGCGTTACAAAACTTTCACGACACAGTGTGAATTCAGATCTGTCCATCGATGTACTACGCGCAACTTCAGAGAACAGCGTAATCCAATTCATTCAATGGGGAATATCATGAATATACTTCATGCATTGTAACTAATATTTCTGGACCTCTGTTTATTGTAAGATTCGTGATTTAGATGAACTGATAATTCTACCTTACTGCGAAGTGTCCTGGATGATATTGCAGCGGAAATAACATCACATCATTAACTGAACTACACCCACTTTTTATACTACAGTAACAACAGACTTGATGCAGCCATCATCAACAAGGAAAAATTCCTCAGCGTGCAGTTACGCGCACATTCTTTTCAGTTTTAAAAACAAATGTACTCGACATATTGCATGCTTTCTGTGATAAAATAAAGAATTTTTCCGCAAAGTGTTTTAAAGCATTGTAAGTTACCCTTGCTAGAACTAACTTTCATTCCTTAAATAACTTCCCCACCCACCCGTAAGCTAACAATTCATAAATGAATAATATTTATACACACGGCAGACACGATTTCACAATGAAGCACCGACGAAGACAAAAAAATTCAGACGTCTGAAAAAAAGATCTTTCAAGTAAATTTTTAGCACCATAAATTTCAAAACAGCTTACATAATTTGTCATAGAGAAATTACGCTAAAAACCTGAGAGAAAGGAGTATTGATTTCCCAAGAGGACACGATTACAATGGGAAGCTGCCAACATTTAACGTAAAGCGCTTACGGTGTTTCTAATCCAGAACAGATCTCTGCCATACCTCCATGATGGCAAGGCGTCGTCCAGTGACGTCACAGCTGGCAGGTGGCGGTTCTTTGGACAAAAAGCCGAGATTGGCTGTTTGCTTAAGTTTTGAAATAAGATACTGGTTCTTGAGAGAGCTGTGAAATTTCCATGTTTAATGGACAAAATTATCGCCGATTTCATCTAGCCTCGTGTTAAAGAGACAGGCGACAATACATCTTTTCCCTCGTTCGCACGCTTCTGTGCGATCGAGTTACGTGGAATTATGCCGCAAACTGAGAACTTAGGACGCGTTTGAGCAGAAGCAATTCCATCTGTAAACTCATTTCTCCATTCCTAAAAAACCAATGTTCGCCAGATTAATTGCTCTTTATAAGTTCAGCTCTCCTATAGGGTTTTGCTTGCTAAATTTGATACAGCACTCATTCAGTTCCATTCGGGCACTTAACATATTTGAGCGCGGGGCTCTTCGATAAACCACGACCGCAGATAAGCTTTTCCATAGCATCTTTGCCCTCTCAACAAGCACGTTAAAACGCTGTAGATCTCTGTGGCAAAGATAATACCTGTAAAACACCTGGGTTTCAAGGCACCTTCTTAATAGGCTTATTGTGTTTCAACTGTGATTTCAAGCGTGTTCTTTGGGGGCATTGAAGGATATAAATGACTTTTGAAAGGGTGTAACTTTTAGCGCTAATGTGTGATTCCTTTTGAATAGGTTATTTTGGTTGAATTATTACCACACGGTATACATTTGTTTGTGCGTACAAAACTGACTTTTTGTTTCATGGATATTTCCATTGCGGTTATGTATTTGTTTAGTTCTTTTGTAGTGTTGGCTTGGAAAATCACGTTCAGATCGTCGAACAGTTTGAAATTTCACCTTCAGAGAACTTTTTGCGTGCGTTTTTTCTTTCTTTCATCACTAAGTAATTCTATGTTCGAGCAAGTAACCTCAAAACAAGGACCTTGGCTAAATTACTTGTGTATTACGCGTATCATGTCCCCGATCAAATCTACTCTGTTAACATATCAGCCATGCGAATAACAGTGATATCTGAATGGATTGTTGTTACTTTACAATGCGACTTAGATGCGGGGAAATAATCACGGCTTCGCTTTTCTCTCTCTCTCGTTCAGTTCGAGGTATTATTTCGATTTGTTTGGGTTTTAAATTAGAATTTGATCAGTGGCACCTGTCGGTTGGGTGTCTCCTCCCTGTGCGAACAAAGCAATTTTGTGAATGTTGATTACAAAAATAAAAGCGCGGAATGTTGTAAAATGTCTGCTAATTAATTATCATTAATTGATAACACCCTCTATTGTCAACCCAGGTCCGCAGGGCGCCTGAGGGTGTTAGGCTGTCCATTATCAAACGCACTCTTGTAAACCTCCTAAACGAACTAATGAAATCGCGACCAAGCACAGTTTAGTTCACCATTAACCTTGACCAACAAAGATTGGGAACATAATCCGTTTGGTTTTGCCTCTTGTCTGCGGCGAATCTTGCAGTCTCGAGGCCCATTTAAAGAAAGGTCTATGTAAACTCGATGTATATGTTTTTTGTTATCAAGTTATACTAGTGCGGAAACGACCGCTGTCGACTCCTGTGACAGGCAAACCAAACGGGTCAATTTCTTGGCTTTGTCACTCAGTCGCTTATCAAAAGGAACATCTATTAATATGTCAAGCAGCCAATCACAGTGCGGTATCTAAATTGCGGTCATTAGTTGCTAATTTCAACATAACACAGTTGTTTCACTTTGTACGGCTGGTACGAGGTATATAACACCGTACATACCCTGACAGGGACAGATAGCCACACAATCTGTAGCGAAAACAGCGGCGAAGGAATCCGTCCATCTTGAAGTAGCGAAGACATCGTTAAATATGCAACACTGCGACTGGAATAGGAGTCTCAATGTCTTTCCGCCGTATAACTCTTCGTCGTTTTATATTGATGATATTCTGAGCTCTGGATCACAACGACCTCAAGCTTCCATCTGCACTTCAACAATGTGCGAGGTGCCTAAACCGCCTTGCCTATCACCAGCCTTTCATCTACCTCCACCGCGAACCTACAATAATCTGAGCAGCCCATTCACGCCTTATCATTCCCCGAGGGGCTTCGGTTTCCATGCGCCGAGTATACCCAGTGTTTATGAAGCTTACAACGATCACAGTAAGTACGGCATCGATAACTCTCTAGCTAGTCAGTTGAATAACAAAGTTTGAGTGTAAAATGCTGCGCTAAGGTCACTAGCGTGAAGTGATTTCTTTCGTTCAGTGAGATATCGGAATCGATTACCACTGTTGAGTTCTGGTTCGTTCTGTCGATGAATTTGATTTCACTGTTTCTCGATGGCCGGAGCGCTCAGTAGGATAGTTGGATTAGTGGTTCGTGCTGGCTTTTTGTAATGACCACAGCGCTTTCTTCTGGCTGTGAAGTAAGTGATAAGAGCATAAAGTCATTAACTGAAGTTTTTTTGTTGCTCAGTTCGCCAAGCGCTGTACCATTTGGCAGTTTACTTGAATGCTGTTGTTAGCTTTCATAATACTTGCTCTTTATGACAGCATTGACGCCTTGAACACCACCTGATTAACGTGTACTTCCTGAAAACCGCGTGTGTTCATCCCGAACTCGGAATCTAGAGAAATCAGTATTAGAAAAATTTTGTTTTGAGCTGTATAATGAGATTTTCAGAAGCGAAAATTTGGGAGTAAAACTCAACGGAAGTACTGTTCTAGCATTCGCACCCAACTTAGAACTCAATTTAACCCGCAGAAATTGTTGCATCTGTAATCATTTCCGTCGCTTCTTTACTTTTAGGTGCCTGGAATCTGTTTTTACCCAAGCCGCAGAAGAAGAAAGGTGGCCAGGTTCGGTTCTCTAACGAGCAAACTATGGAGCTGGAGAAGATTTTTGAGAATCAGAAGTATCTGTCGCCGCCGGAGCGCAAGCAACTGTCCAAGGTTCTTGGGTTAACAGAGCGACAAGTTAAGACCTGGTTTCAAAACCGCAGAGCGAAATGGAGGCGCTTTAAACAGGAATCTCAAGGCGAGAAATCGGAAAGATTAGAAAATGAAGAAGCAAAGGCGATAGAAAAAGCTTCTTCGTAAGTTCGTCCTGCGCTAGAACTCTCATACGCACCGCATTGACCGGCTCAACAATTGTGAACTGTCGCAGTGCGAAATATGGCAGACACAACGTTCGGTTCAGTTCGGAACATTAACACGGAATGTTTTGGAATTAAGACATTTAAGATTAAGAAGTTGCCAAATGCTGGTTTTACAGCGTTTAAAACTCAAGACTTTGTATAAAATCGTGCGTAAAGCAAAACGTTGAGAATTTAACTCGCGCTGGCCGTTGAGAGTGAGGTTCATGTTATTGCAGAGTCTACATCAGTCACAGACTTGTGGAAAGTTTGCGGTTCGCAAAGCCGACTGGCACAAAGGCCTGTTCTTTAGTCGCACAACTATTTCATTTGAATAGAGGAGACGTTTGCTGGTAGGCTAAAGAAAAGAGTTGATTTTAAAGCCGGTTGTTAAATGTAATCAGCAACGCAAGTATTGTAAACTCGTATGCTAAGTCATAAGTGTTAGTGAATTATACGTTAAAGCAAAATTAATTGCCGAGTTTAAACAAAACTGTTCCCAAGTAAAGACTAGAGAGCCATACGCGGTACATGTCTTGTATATAATAAAAATTCCTCAGAAATTTCAGTTGTGATTCCCTATTTTCAACGTGGTTACTTTGTGAGAAGAAGCTAAGAGTGTACAGGATAGCAAATAGTAAATTGAACACTGTGTAATAGCTTTGATTTCCAATTAGTCATTTTTACTGAGAATAAACTTACTCAAACGACATTGTTGTGTGTGTCTAATGAATGCTTGTCTTTTTCTCAAAAGGTTAGAAGAAGGTTACATAAGGACAACAAAAGAGCAGAAGTTTGTCCGAAAAACGTCCATGTAGCGATTTTTGAAGCTAAACGCAATTTATTACAGTCCAACGAAGATGCTTGGGATATTTCGAAGACGATTTTGAGAGTCTCATGACACTAGATAATTGCCCGGTTTGATCTCTGACATTTCCTATGATTAGATTGACATAGTCTTTTAGCGAATTGCGCTTTCACTCACATTATTACTCTTTTAATTGCTCTATAGACAGGATGTGTGCTTCCAAACAAGTTTTTCTCTTGCTTTTGAAAAGGCAGAGATCAACCCTTCAGCCCGTAATTATTTCGGAGCTCTTTAAGTCACTTTTTCCCATTCGAGTCTTTGCCATTGTCTAAAAAGACGAGTAAGTCGCCGAACGCCACGATTTGTCCGACCATTAACGAATCCTAATTGGTACTGTGTCAGAGGGATAGAAAATTATTTGTTTATATTATGGCGACAAAGGGCTCTCGCGACTGCGATAAAGTGGATTCAATCTATAAACCTTATCTTATAGCTTTCCTCGCCCTGAGCGTGGTTCCAGAGCAACAAGCTTCGCACGCTTTCCCGGCGTTGCTTTTCACAAGCGCCAAGTGAATTGTTTTGATACGGAGCAACTGGCCGAGTAAAATTAATTGCAAAAGCTTTCTTTTTCAATACAAAGGTGTGAAATTCAATGTGATAAAATAATTACCACGGACTGTGCTGTTTGTAAAAGACACAAAGAGTGTTTTAGAGTAGGATTGCCAAAAGCCATTGAGGTCTTTATTTTCGAGGAGGTCGTCTTTTCTCTAATTGAAAGGGGTTTCTGCTCTTTTGTAATCAATCTTGAATTAGTTATCGATTTCTTGCTTTGCCCACCCCATATCCACAACAATGCTTCTAAAACACTATTAAACGCATCGGCTCCATTGTAAATGGCTTTTTGATGTTTTCTGTTTGTCCTCTGTGCAATTTTGAGAAACTAAGGAAAGAAAAACGCTTCAAAAAGTTTCTCTTCGTGGGCGTTTAATCACAGATAGAGTACACAGAGAGCAGCTCTTTTTCATTAGGGCCAATGAATAGTATTGCGTGTGTGGCCGAGAGAAATCTGCGAGGAGTAGAGATAACCCCTTGTCAGTCTTCCTATTCACTCGTTGTAATCCAAATTCAAAGTAGCGTTAATCAAGATATACATTTAAACCATTAGGATTCTCAAGGTCTGCGTAACATAACACTACAACATGTTTTGTCGCAATAAAGGACGAGAACGCAGATTGTCAACAGATTAGGTTGTATCTGATTCATGTTTGTAAATTGTTTTTAGCCGGGCAGTTTTAGCTATTTCAATGTACATTAGGAGTTTTTGACGCGTTCGTATTTTCGCTTTCTTGATCGACTTTCCGGTCTTTTGACGCATTTAGTTTTCGCCAATTAAACACCAGCTGTTTCCTCTATGGAGCCGAAACAACCAACACCAAACAAAGGCAAAATATACACAAGTTTGGCGTCTGTCTTCCCCAATGAGCCCTACTCATTTTTTAGTTCAAAAAGAGGTTTTAGCAAGTTATATTCCTGCATGTAACAACCATAATTGAAGAGGGGTTTTATGAAAGAAAAAAAAAAGAACTAGAAAAGAAAAAAAGATGAGGTTTGTACACATGGTTTGAACGAAGAGCTGAGATTCAAAGATGTAGCAATTGTATTTTATTTCGCAATAAACATGGAACTAAAGTAGAAAGACATGTCAGGTTATGTTCACAGAGTTATTAGAAATCATTTACTCTCCTCTGTTTGAACAGAAATTACTTCATGAGCGGAAAATAAGATTGAGTATAAGTAATATTTAAGATACTTCAAAGGAAGGCTGGAATTAAAAGCCAGTTAGGATAATTGTTGTCTAAAGACCTAATTATGACTCTTTTTTAGCTCAAAACTGAATAAAGAACAAAAATGTTTATTGGTAAGAATCTCCCATTTACATTCATAGCTTTTATAGCATGGCTGCCCAACCTGCGTGTTTTCAGATCAAATCATTCAAAAAGATTTTCATAAATGATTTGACCAAATGTAATTGTCAGTGCGAGCATTAAATTGTATTCAAAACTAATTCAGTGGAATTTAAGGTTGCGCCGACCTTGATCTAAAAATGATCGGGTTTTCTGATAAAAACAGAATTATGTTTGTTGCAAAACTATCTAGAGCAAATGATTGAAATATTTCGATAAAATTCATTGAATGTAACCTATTAGTAGTTATCTGCCAAACTTAGTATTCATATCCATATTTTCGTGTGAATTGACCAGTGTATTTATCAACGCGTTTTCTAAAAAACGATCAGAAATATACCCTACGGTCTCCTACAATGAAATAACCACTGAAAAATGTCGTTTTCCCGGCCATTAAAGCTATTACACCCTCCTTTCCTGCTGTTTTATTGTAGGCTTAGTGAAAACCGGTGGAAGTATTTATCAGAAAGCTTGTGAGGTAGACCTCAAACATGCTAATATTTCCAAAACGGCAAATGGCGGAACGACGTACTGACTTTTGATGGCTTCCCTTCGCGGATAACCAAATGTGCCTTGAGAACAACTGATAACATTGTATTGCTTGTCGCAATACAGTCGAATAGGCGAGGGAGGTGTTCCCGGTATTTAAGAATAATTTAACTTCTTTGAACGCATCAATATGCCGCATTTCATTCATATGTTTTCAGTCTTTTTTAGCCCGCGGGAAACGTTGTAAGTCGAGTAAAGGAATTCAACTAAGTTATCCATGTAATGGACTAAGCGCCCAATCGTCTACTACTCTCTGTTTTATGAACTTAAACAATAGGAGAAGATCTAGCTAACACGGAAAGGGTTGTTCATTTAATTTCTTGCTTTAGGGCGGATAAATTGTCTTTTGTTCTTAGATGTACCGCTCTCTTGACGACATTATAAAGACCTTGAGGACAGATCACCAAAGCTATACCTTGATCGTGTAATGAATATTTCTAACAATAAACCATTTATATCTCGACACATCAAACTTTTTGATTTCTCATTGCAATGTTCTTTATTGAATTCAGAAACCTCTTTGTATCGGCTTCTAACATAGCTGAGTACTTAGTTACATTAATATACATTCATGGGTGATAAACTGACTCTATTTTCATACTATTTTGTGATGATTTCAAGCAATCAACACTCCTATTTCTTCTTGTGTTAAATTCCAACAAAAACAAACCAACTTTGCCTCTTGTGATTCTACAATTGTCAATGAAGACTAACCCTACTTTGAAAAAATGTTTTGAACCTACGGTGACAGTGATACAACTTTTAACTGACGCGTTTTTTTCCTTAACCGATAATTTAGTTCCTTCTTAGAGCAAGGGCAATGCTACTGCCGGGCTCTAAATAAAGAGACAACGTTGATTGTGAAATGCGGGCAGTGTGAATTAGACCCTTATGGGTTAATTTTGTTTTTAGTCAGTAATGATGCGTTACTAACTAACTCGGCAAACTGAAACAGATCTCAGTCCATTTAGTGATTATTTCCAGAGTGGTCACTAAATTGTGTTCATGTACAACTAGTCAAAAGTTTTCCACTTACTTACAAATTCAAATTCCACAGTTAATTTGTGATAATTATGAAGTACATAGACACAATAGGCGATCACAGTACAGGAGAAACTATATTGCATAGTTTTTTCTCAGTGATTTCATCAAACTGGATCAGATCTGTTAAATATAATGCAGTGAGTATTTTTGGTTGATTAATTTAAAAACCACAAGGATTTGGTGAAGCCTTGTAGGTAAATCTTGCAGAAACCAAATGGTGTAAAATAAAACATGTATCACATCTTTCCTAGATTTGCTTAATGGTAAATGTTGTTTTATTATTTGAATTGATTTAAACATTTCAATGGTATCTTAAAAACTAGAGTTTCCCATAGCCATATAAGATTTTTAATGACAAAAATGCTTTTGCTAGTGATTGCTAAATTGGGCGGACGGCTCCAAGAAATTTGTCATTAGGTAATAAGCGTGCATCACTGACATTTGTTCTAAATTAAGGTACTTCACAGTAAAAAGACCTTTAATAGTCTTGGGCTTTCCTGAAATCTACGAATAAAATTTACTGTATCTAAGATGAGCAAAAAAACTCCTCAATCACATCGTCGACTGATCCCAGTGATTTCATTTGCAATGGAAAGAAATCTATATAAGTTTGGAGTGTTATATTGTAACGATTTCTTATCACTAAGAAGGCATACATACAGTTCTAAACATGTGTATGACAACTGATGAAGCTCAAAATTAAGCCAATTAATTAAAACAGAAATAAGTCGATGGAATAACGAATAAAACTACCATACGAATATAGTTACAATGCAATGTACATGAACACAAGATGTTCATACAACTTACTCTTAAGCAATGTTATTTTATTTTACTGCACAAGATGACGCGATCGTATGTACGAAGTTGGAACTTTCACTCGCTGATGTCATCTGTGCTCTTAGTTTTCTGTATATAGTAAAAGAATATTGAATGAAATTAGGTTGAAACCATCAAACGAACAGATTTTGATCCCGTAGATTTGTTTATGATTGCAGGAACGTTCGAATGTTAGGAATAAACATCGCAATTTTGTGTTCTGTCACCCTCCACGTTTGATATAAACCACCTTCTAGTGCAGTGTGTAAATCTATCTAACTCAGAACTAATTTTGTAGACAGAACTTCCTAAAATAATGTGGTTTCTCCTTTTCCTACATTTCTTCTGCTTTTGGGTTAGTCTTGCTTAAAGCGAGTGATTCTGAAATATTGCGTGCAAGGGAAATTGAGTAAAGTTCAGTATGTCTTTACTCAGTTCCTCACATTTGACATTGTAATTTACAGCGTTGATTTAAGTTTGATCTCTCTCACGAATGCGAAATTGCAAAGTAACTGATAAATGTGTATT